CCCGCTTTCTGCCTGTTTAAGCTGCGTACACGCGGGTTTTACTTAAGCGTGTTTTTCGGCAGTGGAATCCTAATTTACACGCGACATAACCACCGAATGGACGGAATATAAAGTTTAGCTCGTGCTTTTATCATTGGGGTTTGTCCGAAGTTCCGCTTTCTTGTTCCCGTTTTAGGTCTTGCATCTGGAAAGCGCGCTGTTTTGTGGCAGCGTTGAAAATATCTTTCCCAGCTAACATTTTGTTGATTATTTCGGTGGCTTAATCTAACATTGAGACTGATACTAGCAGCAACTCAATTCGCTTAAGGAAAATACGCTATTTTCTGCGCTATTTTCAGAATACAGTCCCGTCAATGGCTGTCACTAGGCGTCATCAATAATATCTATTTAAGAATGATGTCCTCCCTTGATATGTCGGCAGGAGGTCGTTTCTATGAGACGATTGGTACAATAAAACTTTAAATACTTAAAGGTTTAAAAACCTGGCAGAGGATAACTTGAGTCCTCGACACCAGACATCTGCCTCTAAAAACTGACCTCAATACGCCAGCAAGAGCTGAGAGGCCAGTGTTCATTTAGGGAGAGGGGTGAAGTAAATGTAGCAGGAAATTGAGACGCATTTAGGCAAAATTCCCAAAAAACCTAAGTAAACATTTACTTTGTCCCGGCCTGTTGACATGTGCCTAAGTGATGGGACTTCTAAGCAGACTTGAGTTTTGACGGACAGCTGTCAGTACTTCACATACTGGTAGCATCCGAAGGCTGCAAAGGTTCTTGCATAGACTACTGTTTTGCTTATGGATGGACTCAAAAGTTTCTGTTAGTCGAAGCTGTTGGTAGGTCAAAAAATTAATAAGCTAACTCATGAAAAATGCTATGAAATGGGGCATTATAAGCACAGCGTGACAGTTTATATATGAAATTTTGAGCCGAATTTAATCAAATTCAACGGCATACCTGCGTCATATTCGTAAACTGCTCACAGGCAGTCCGCAGTCAACACGTGTTTTATGATTCTCCATGGTGAGAGCACAGTTACCAACTACCTGTCAGCTTTTGCGCCGAGCCTATGCAATCTTGTTCCGAAGGATTTAGTCTCGATTAGCACATTTACTTCTGAAGATATTCAACAACTGAATTTTGGAAACTGGACGGCCTACCCGAGGGCACAGGAAAAATCTGGGGCGTCCATTGCTAAGTCGAGTCCTTTTTGAGAGCGATATATATGCACTTTATTTTTAAAATATCATTGCAAAACTTTCGGTAAAAACGTCCTTCATTCACAAGGAATAAAATAAGGTGCATAAACTCACAACACCGGGAAATCAAGACCAATCCATAATCGTCAGTGACTGCAATTGTCGACCTCGTGGATAAATGCCCTTGAAAAATTCGTCCAAGATAGACCAAAGTGGACTGCTTTCAAAACGGCACTAGCGTCTTGCACCGATGACCCCATTGTAGTACAAATCAACAGGGAGGGATAAAAATCGGTTCGTAATGGGCTAAGTGGGCCAACTGACGTATATAAAAGAAAATTTACATCCGAATGGAGGGAGAAAAAAGTGGCGGCTCAATTTGAAAAGCCCGCTGCAGATGTGTCATGCATAATGCCGGTGAAAAACCTTGTATGACATTTTAGCTAGTACGCCTGCTGCCAGTATAGGAACTCGATTGAAATTGTGTATGTGGCCCCCGGCAGGGCACGGCCGTAGGAACACCGCCTTGCGCAAAACTCCAGGACGAGTGTATATTCCCTTGATCCACCCGCAAACACCAACCTTCACTTAAACTCTGGTCACTCCCGTAACCTTGGTCCTAACCCTGTACGAGATCTAAATCCTAATGCTAGCAGAACTAGAAGATGCGATCGCTGAAACAAGAATTTTATTAGCCTGACGTTTCGGATTCTGTCGAGAATCCGTAACCATAGGAGACTGTAGAATAGTGTGAGACATACTAGATTGGGGTGATGAATACACAGATTTCGCGGTATTTATAGTTCTAGTGGTCACCCGCACGCGTACTATGATTAGCAGCTCCTGTAACGACCGCCTTGGGTCGTAATTGGTGCCATAATGGCTTGGCAGTTTGCTTTCGAGTCGTTACTTGCCATGTTGGTGTTAATTGCTAACACTAACTTTAATCCTAATACGGGTTTACGTGGAACGTTGGGCAAAGCCATCTGTATTATGGGCACTTCCTGCTGTCATATCCTGATGGGCAGTCACGTCCCTGATCCCTACCGGTAAAGCATACAACATCTTCTTATAATTCTCATACGTTCGTTGAAAAAAAACCGAAGTAGCATTTGCTACCTTATAAATTGAAACTACGTGCTCAGATGTTCTTCTTTATCATTCATTCGCCAGTCAAGCATAAGGTGCTTCTGCTTTTATGCGGTTTTTCCTACCAAAAGATCATGGCGGATACAGCGAGGTTAACTTTACTACATGAGGCCAATTTCGTATTTGTTTTTTTCTTTTCCAATTTCCCGTATAGCGAATCCAATAAAACCCGTCTACACAATACGGTACAACCCCAACCGGCCGGTGGACGTTCTCTGCTCTCTACACAGCAGCAAATTCGTCTGGAAAGACGGTAAGATTGATGGTTAATGCCGAATAAGCAGTCCCTCCGTTCCTAAACTCCCGCACGTTTAGATATCTTATTTGTCAAAATGGTGGATTAACGGTAAAATCTTACCTTGGGTCGTAGATCAACACGCGAAAGCCCATCCTTCTGTAATACATGACCAGGCATGATAAAAAGTATACATTCTGAGCAATACAAAGGAAAGGAAATATAAATTAAAAATAAAGTTTATAAAAGTAGAAAAAAAATAGGAATAAATATTAAGATAATATAAGGTTTTTCAACAAAGAAACGCGCTATAATTAAAATGTGCAACTATGCAAATATTGGGAAATAAGCAGATTAAAAAATAACCAACTAAAGCTAAAATCAACTAACTAAAAAACGTAAACTAAGGTAAGATAAATTCACTTAACTAAAAAGTAATCTTAAACTAAAATAAAAATAGTTAACATAGTAATGAACTGAAAAGTAAACCCAAAACTGAACTTAAATGTAAACAAGTTAAAAAACCAAATAAAATAGACAAACGTAAAGTTATTACGCATGTAACTCCAGAACGGTAAGTTGGACCTCAGGTAAGTTGAAGTAGGCGACCTCCTAACCACCAAATGTTTTCTCAGGAATATCAAGAAACCCAATAAAATATAAAGTATAAGAAAGTAAAAAATTTCCACATTTGTCACATCCAACAAACTATAAGTAAGTAATAACTATAAGTGAATTTCTGTGAGTGTTTATGGCACGTTAGTTTGCTGCGAAAACACTAGATTATTTAAACTATTTCTGGGACCATATGTAGGCTTCCACCAATTAAACGGACGCCGGCAGACGCGTAGGAAATGTCTTGTATACCAGTGGGTCTAGGCTGCATGCATGCATGGAAAGTTTTGTGGTAAATAAATGGGTCGGACCAAAAAATAAGGAAAAATGTCCAAGAGGTAGTGTTGCAGTTGCAGGTTGACAGGTTTTCCTCTGACAGTCCTCTGACATTGGCGAGTTCTTCCTTAGCCAGTCAGTAACTTGAAGCAGGATTTTGATTGGCTAAAAATCTGACCTTTCCATTTGTCATTTGTAGTTTAGGAAAATGCTTAATGTTTAAGCATGCGCAAAGCATAAACAAATACGGTTGACAACTGGCTTTTGTGCTTAAACCAGAACGAACCCACACGTCCAGCCAGATATTTAGGTATCTCCCTTCAATCTTCCAACAGACATTCGCGTATTTACAGAAAACTCATTATGGGACAGTATACGCTGTTGGCAAATACACTTTGTCAGTTACTCAGTTCATGAAATATGCGTTTTCGGCCGGAAAATAATACTTAAGTGGGGTTGAAAATTGGTCATCGCGTAGGACAATCCATGCTATCTCAGATACGCCAGAACGCCGGCGATTAATGCATGTCTTTTCAGTGGCTAGCAAAAAGCGCCCTCGATAAAACACGAATGCTTGAGAAATATGCATTTTTACTATTAATTTTCGATGGGCTTACAAACTCAAATATGGCTTGTAGGAAACATGCACATAATGTTCCTTCTTGTACTCATTTGATAGCAAATCCCTCCATCTTAAGATTTTTTTACAAACATTTTCAAATAATAAGATTTTTTAAGACCGCACGACTTACATTCAAATCACATCGTCTCTGTTCATTTATATATACCTTCCGTTGAGTATACAACATAGTCCACATTCATTGCAAAATTGTATGAGCACTATAAGACATCTTCTTAATGGCCTAGAAGAATGTGTGTAATGCCCTACACGGAAATCCTAAACGCAAATGCATTCTGGCGTTCTGGGCTCAAAAATATTGGGGAATTCAGAATCTCAGTCGACCAGCGTGCACGGGCTTTCCATAAGTTGTCACTGGGCAAGGGCATTTCTAGGGGAACGATAAATATTCATCAATCCATTACATTTAGATGGGAATGAGATCAAAGATAAAACCTGTGGTCATTATTGTTTGGCTTTTCTTACAAATGCGTTGTGAGAACATGGGGGGTAATTAGCTGATTAAGTGATAGTGAGGGTTTGGTGGAGCCGTTGGCCATGCCAGACGTGGATTTCGCAGGTTATATTGTGCAGACAAGCGCTAGCTTCTACTGTTGCAGATGTTCGAAAATAAGCTCTTTTAAAAGCCGACATATTTCTGAAATACGTTTGGCTTAGGCTCCAAGCCCATAGATATTACAATCTCCTTTAAATAATTCTTCCTAAACGACAATGCATATCGGAACTATATGAATTGGCCATTGAAGCGCCACCCCTACGCAGTAGTTCCTATGCTAAACGTGCAGTAGCCATGTCTGCCAATTTTTTGTTTTCTACTTCGTAACGTTGACCATGAGTTCACTCTTCACATGGTTTCAGGAACTTGCGAAATCGTACAGGAGGTTCAATGACCTCAGCCTTCCTGAGCCGTGATGGCACTCCTTCGGGCCACCTGAACGTCACTATGGAAGTTGCCGAGGTCGATTCGCGCGGCCCTGTCGACAGATCAGGACACTATGATATCAAAGTACTCCAACAGAAGGCCCAAATGGCCGAAATCAAAAGGTTTGTCTTTTTTAACCCCCCTCCCTCTCCGCCCAAACCCCCATCCCTCAAATAACAGCCAGTCAAAGAGCATTCTGTGTTTGGTTCTGTCCTTCTATAAATATGTATATGCAGGCGAACGCTGTGCCGTAGCAATTGGCGACTGGAATACCGCGCATGTCTAGTCGGTAAGATTGTTTCAGCAAGTCCAATGTCTTTAGAGGGGCTTTCCATACTGCATAGAGTAACTACGGGCCCTGAGACAGAAACCTCAGACAAGGAACAAAATAATGTAGGAAGACCACTAGGCCTATTGTCAACGTCCGATTTAAGGTTTCCGTGGTCCTCACAGAATTGAGGCCGTAGCGAAATAATTGAAGTAAATGCCAGAGGTACAGACACCCTATGTCGCATATGTGATGTCGCTCTAGGCGAAATAAACGCATTCAAGTAAACGTTTGCAGGCATAATTATAAAGATCAATCGTGCGCTTACAAACTGGGGCCTCTGGATCAAGGAGGCGGTAGTTATCTCATAGATTCGACTGGGAGGAAATGAATTAGATCGTCCATTGAAAGATAGGACGCGAGAATAGCTACCATCACTTACTTTCAAGGTGATGTAAAGATAAAGTTACAGTCCATACGACCGCTCTGCCGAAGTCCGTCGTCGAATGCGGCCACTGCCATGTAAGTGGGCGTCAGAAGATTGGCTTTTAAGCTGATAGTAAAAATTAATTTCAAAAACCTCACCTTCTTAGTGGCCTTCAAAATTTCTGTACCAACGCTCCGTGGGATGATTCATCGAGGTCAATAAACTCAGAGCTCTTTTGTATCCTAAACAGAACTATTTAAGTTCTTTCGTTTTGCATAATTTACCATGCTTTCGTAGGGTAAGACTGCAGTGCCGACTGAAGGGCCTCCCAGAAGTGGTTAGTCAGGTTCGTTGATTACTTACTATGCAGCTTTGTGAACCAGTCTCTGACATAAATAGTGTTCTAACGGTGACAACTGGCTGTGTCGCCAATGATGTAAAAACTCCAAATCTGTATAATAGCTTGTGGAACCACAACAAATGGATCAACATACAGTGACCAAAGATCGTGTGTAGCTGTTCATACCAGTGAGCAGTTCGAGCAGACTTCTTAAGAATTTTGAAAAGGTTAAAGACGCCACCAACAGGGCGTCC